TGTTTACATGAGGAGGATAATGGAATTCTGTGGAAGCACCAAGACTGGAGAACTGGCTTAGCAGAAGTCCGAAGGTCTAGAAGACTTTCTGTTTCTTTTGTATGTACTGTGGCCAACTATGAGTATGGATTCTTTTGGCACTTCTATCAGGCAAGTAGGGTATCGCATCCTTTTAAGAGATAAATTTGCTTACATTAATTATATTTTAAATATAATTATTTCATAAATTCACAAATATGCAGCCTCGTCATCCTTTGAATTATTGAGAGACTTTGCATCGCCCTTGTAATTAGTTAGCTTGTAATTTTTGCTTGACTGCACTGTCAACATTATATAAATTTTTTTTTGTTTTGCTTTTCATGAATTACTTGTGTATTATCTTTTGCTTTATTTTTCTTTAATCTTCTTGTTATATGGTATTTGACTCTGTTAAAAATGATGGCATATGTTGTTCCAGGATGGAAAGATTGAGGCTGAAGTCAAGTTAACTGGAATTCTCAGCTTAGGAGCTTTGCTGCCTGGAGAGTTTCGCAAATATGGAACCATGATTGCACCAGGTCTATATGCTCCAGTTCATCAACACTTTTTTGTAGCTCGCATGGACATGTCTATTGATTCTAAACCTAGTGAAGCTTTGAATCAGGTAATTTGAATTGCATTAATGAATTTTACCTGTCTCCATTATTCATATTGGTTTATGTTGCTGCCATCTCTTATAATAGAATAATTCCCGTGTCATGCATTAGTACTAGTTTAGTAGCCGACATTTCTGATGGCGTTTAGATAACCCTGTAGAAATATATTTTGACATCCTTGAAGCATGCTATACTGCTTACCATACTGTCTCCTAAAAGAATTATTGATTATAATTTTTACAATGAACGCCTCAACATTTATGCACAAAACTTGGGATTGAAGTGCTGCCACTTTTCCTTATTTGTTTTATCAAACTATCTTATGTTTTATGAAAGTTTCTCTGCCCTAGAAATTGTAAGTTTGTAAGACAAGGCTATATGCTATTACAGTGCTGAAGTCCCTCTGAATAATCTACCTTGGGTCTTCAGAAGCCAATTTTACCACTTCGATATTTTAACTCTGAAATAACTGAATTGGCTGCTTTCATACTTTGTTTACAATTTTACTTGTAACAGCTTCCTCTTTGTTCACTAATCTTTGTAGCTTAGCTTGGCTAATGCTTCATAATTCTTTTCTGAGTGCACATTCTTACTCTCTCTAGATGTTTGGTAGGTTGTGGAGGTTAATATGAAAGTTGAGGAACCTGGTGAGAATAATGTTCACAATAATGCATTCTATGCTGAAGAGACTTTGCTCAGATCTGAATTGGAAGCCATGCGTGATTGCAATCCTTTGACTGCTCGACATTGGATTGTAAGTCTTCCTTGGGTTTTGCACCCAGCTTCTGACTATTGACGTTGATAATTTCATACTGTCAAACTGTTGTTTCTTATTTGCAATGGTGGGAAATTGTTGTTACACCTAGCCTAAATAATCATATCAGATGAATGTCCCTTAATCTTTGAAAAGTTTTATGATAGGTTTCTTATGGAAGTAAGCACATAATGTTTACAATTCTATAGATGTCTTTCATACCAACTGCTGAGAATTTTGCACTTGGTTTCATCTCCTGGAAATTACTTACTGGTATTTTGTTTTGAACTTTGCTTTTAGCGTGGAAGACTAGAGCTTTATATATTTTGTTTAACTATGGTTCTAATAGTTGTTCACTTTCTGAATTAATTCTTTGATTGAGACCTGTTACTATTTTAATAATCCTTCAGGTAAGGAACACAAGAACATGCAATAGAACTGGACAGTTGACAGGCTACAAGCTGGTACCTGGCTCAAACTGCTTACCGTTGGCAGGTTCTGAGGCCAAGTTTTTAAGAAGAGCTGCTTTCTTGAAGCATAATCTTTGGGTAACAACATATTCACGGGGTGAGATGTTTCCTGGAGGAGAATTTCCTAATCAAAATCCACGCGTTGGCGAAGGACTAGCTACATGGGTTAAGCAGAATCGATCATTGGAAGAAACTAATATAGTTCTTTGGTCTCTCTCTCTCTCTCTCTCTCACACACACACACACACACAAAAAAAAAAGAAATACTTGAATTCCACTAAAGTATTCTCGGAATTCGTATTTCATATTTTACAAAATTTGTAATGCTAAATTAATAATCTAACTTGTATCAGTAAAAATAGTATATTCCACTATGTAACTGCAACAAGAATTAGCTTATTCAGTGGTTTACATAATGTTTTATTCAAATAAGGGCGAAATAAGTTTCTCCAATCTCCATTTTCTCGTCCCAATTCACTTTAATGTTTCATCCTCAATATCTTTTCACGTTATGTCTTCTCCAGACTAACCCTGTTATCTTCAGGTATGTATTCGGAATCACACATGTTCCCCGTCTAGAAGACTGGCCTGTCATGCCTGTGGAGCACATTGGTTTTATGCTCATGGTAATTAATTGGTTGATTGTTTTCATGGACTTTTCTGAGAACGCTTTTGATTAGTCTGTTGTTTGCCTATCATTTTAAGTTACTTGATATACGTGCTCAATTGCTCTTGCTTTTTTTTTTTTTTTTTTTTTTTAACTTTTCATTGTTAACTATAAAATGCTTAAATGCAAGAGCTTTGAACAGCATTAGAATATCAAGAATTGTTGATTTTGGCGTTGTTGTTCTGGAGAATCTGGACGATGTTCAGTAGAGCACATCTTTTCTATGAAATGATTTTTTGTTTTGTCTCTGAATTTTTTTGTTTGTTTCAGGTGATCGGGTCTTATTATTTTATTCATGTCACGCATTTAAGTGCATCTGTGGAAGTTTTTCATTTGTCTGACCTGTGAAGCTCCCTTATTGTGTGCAGCCTCATGGATTCTTCAACTGTTCTCCTGCAGTAGATGTCCCGCCGAATCCATGTGAATTGGAATCTAAAGATAATGACATTAAGGAGAATGGTGCTTCGAAGCCAGTTCAGAGTGGGTTAGCGTCCAAGCTTTAGGAACTTCTCCCACCAAAAGTTACGGCTCCGTGCTGCTGACAGAGAGAATCACGGTTACTATTTTGGAATATCCACTGAAACATCAAGTTGAGCAGATTATGTTTGAGTTTAGAATAATGGTCAAGCCTGTTTTAAAATTCTCTTGTATCCAAAAAAGAGAGAAAAGAATAATGGTCAAGCTATGGACTTGAATCGTGATTTTCTAGTTTATGTTGGAAAGCTAGCTGATAATGTTCATTTGATTGGTCTTCCTACCTGATAAAATTATGGTTTCAAATTCGACACTGAAAATAAATGGTTCATTAATGTGCTGTGGTATCACGATTCTGGAACCAGCATATGTGGTGGTGTATTGTGATTGCTATTTTTTTTGTTTCCTTTTCATTATATAGCTCAAATCTATGATTTATTCTTTACATTGTTAGTTGCTCAGTGTAAGTGCCCCCAGAAGATATAATTTTACAGGATGGTGTGCTCAAATTGTAGGATTTGGATCAACGGACTTCCATAAGATATATGACTGGTTAGAAAGAAATTTTGTAAAATTAGTTATGGAACAATAAAGCGGAAACTCCCTAAGACTCCGATACCCACGAAGATAGAATTCGGAAGATCGAATAAGAATGTACAATTGATTTATGGATAATCTCTCGAGAGGGCATGACGCATGACCTCGCTTAGCTTGCTTAAGATACAAGTCGGGTAATCATAAGTACAATAGGTAACTGAACCATCTATATAGTAATTAAATTTCGCGTATATGGATGAGCATTACGTACTGCGTAAGTTCTGCGTCCTCATTGCCTTTGTTAATATGTTGGTAAAATCAAATAGGTAATGTAAAAATAGATTGATATATATATATATATATATATATATATATATATATATAGCTACAACCGCTGATATATAATAGTAAAAAATTATAATAATAGGACAGAGAGGATTGACTAATTAAGATATTCTAATAATACGAGGGATGAGAACGAAATCAGTCAAAGATTTGTGAACTTGTTTTACAGGAGAAATGACTCAAAACAGAAATAGTCAATCAGTTAGGAATTTGCACGTACTTGAAGACAAGAAAACAAAGCAACAAAGTTTACAAAAAAAAAAAAAGCAACAAAACCCCAGACATGTTTGTTTTAATTTATTTATTTGCTTTTTCTCTCATTTCCTCTCTTTCTATTCATTTCCCACATTTATACGTACATTAAATTGATAGTGTTGGCGACAAAGGTATCAATGTTTGAAGAGAGGAGAAGGATAAAAGTTAGAAGAAAATCCAATTAATATCACAAGGATAAAGATAAAGGGTTTAAGATATCAAGAGGAGTAATGGAAAACAAGCCATCAAGTTGGGGATGCTTCCAAATACGTGTGAGTAATCCCAATTCCGTTTGGAAAGGTTCAGACGTCCTATCAACCAACCTTCCCCGCCTTATCTCCCTAATGATTCTCGTTGTTTCTTCCACCCGTTTTTTGCACTACATCTTCAGACCTTTCAATCAACCTTATTTTGTTGCTGAGTTAATTGTAAGTGCATCTATTAACACCCTTTTACTTTTGATAAGAAAATATATATATATATATATATATATATATATATATATATATATATCAAAATGTCATATTTGAAAAATTATTCTCCATTTTGTCACGCTTAAAGCCCCATTATTGAGATTAGTAAAAACATTCTGCCATATGATAGAAGGACGTTGGTTGAATCAGCACCACAACATTACAAACATTGTGTGTGGCATCATGTGAGAATCGCATTAAATCACATAGTATGATATTGTTTTTCATTGTACTACATTGAGCATTTATTTTATTTTTAAAAGTATATTCTTATTTTATTTCATTGTGTTTGAAATGAAGGGGGGTATGCTGCTATGTCCAGACATATTAGGGGGAACCGAATTTTATCATCGAACAGTACGTCTAGAAGCATTGCTTAGTTTTGAAACGATGGCATATGTGGGTCTAATCTACAATATCTTCCTCACTGCATTGGAGATGAACTTAGACAGTATCCTACAAGCACGAAGGAAGGCAACAAGCATCGCTATTGCAGGCATTTTCGTTCCAATGGCATTGGGGGCTATGATATATCATTATTACTCTCAAAATTTCCCCACAAAATCTCATCCTGAATTGGCACTTTTCAACACACCTATGGCTTATTTAATATGCTCTTTAGCACTTAGTGTCACAAGTTTTCCTGTACTTGCTCAAATCCTTTCAGATCTCAAGATCGTCTATACACAGCTTGGTAGAGTGGCCTTAAAAGCAGCCACAATTAGTGACTTTTATAATTGGGTTATGTTTGTTTTGTTGATTCCATATGCCATTCACAGTGAAAGAGCCACACTGTCTATTCTTAGCACCCTTGTTTTTGGCCTTTTTTGTTACTTTGCGTTACGCCCTTTACTTGACAAGTTATTAGTAGAAAAAACCAATCCGAATGAGTGGGACAATTACAAGTTGTCTTATGTGATCATAGGTGTTTTCGCTTGTGCTGCTGTTACTGAATTGCTTGGTACACACTCTCTTGTTGGGGCATTGGGTTTTGGATTGATTTTTCCTCGTGGAAGATTCACTGAATTGTTGATGGAGAAATCAGATGATCTTGTCTCTGGGTATCTTGCACCCTTGTTCTTTGCTGGCTGTGGCGTCAGATTTGGCTTCAAAGGTTTAGCATCAAATTTGGTTCCTGTAATAGTAACCGTGCTCTTGTTATGCACCACAAAGATTATAAGCACTGTAATAGCCACTCGTTTCTATGGTATGCCTTTCCGAGATGGTGTGGCTCTTGGAGCACTTATGAACACCAAAGGCTTCTTGCCACTTATAATCCTTAACTTAGCACATGACAAGAAGGTATATATTGATTGCGAGTCTCGTTCCCGTTATACTTATCACCAGTTAAGTATATCACCTCTTATTATTATTATTTTTATTAACGTCAGATCAATTTAGTGAAAATATATTGATCTATATTTAATCTGACGTTAATAAAATAAATATAAGAGAACTTATTTAGATTGATATATTGTGACTATATATATATATACATATTATATATTTTTTGGCTATATCTTTTATATTATTCTCTTGAATATTTAATTTATGGTAACTAAATCTATAAGCTAAAGATAGTTAGTGAATAACTCATAATTTTATTTTCAGATTGTGAGTGTGGAAGGGTATTCAACAATGGTGTTATCTTTTCTCTTCATGACATTAGCAGTGTCTCCTATCATAAACTATATATACAAGCCAATAAAGAGATTTGAGCAAAATAAGCAGAGGACTGTACAGAACTTGAAGGCAGGGGCAGCGACACGAGTTTTGGTTTGTTTCCACAACACACGCCAAGCCACAGGAATGACAAGCATCCTTGAAGCATGCAATGGCATTAATGTTTCCCCTTTAAATGTGTTTGCTGTTCAACTTGTTGAGCTCAAAGGACGTGCCACTAACATTCTCGCTGTACATCATGACCAGACAAGTTCCCACCAATCACAAGAAGACTTTGAAAGCTTTGTTAATGTTTTCACAGAATATGCATCCTCACATGATCGCACTAGTGTGGAGACTCTCACTGCTGTGTCACCCTATGGAACCATTCATAAGGACATTTACAGTTTAGCAGATGATAAACAAGCATCCTTAATTCTCCTTCCATTTCACAAACAATCAAGTGCAGAAGGTACTCTAGAGATAGTAAACATTACATTCAAAGAGATAAACCAAAGTGTTGTGCAAGATGCACCTTGTTCTTTGGGAATCTTTGTTGATCGTGGTCTTGGGTTACCTTCCAAGATCAATTGGAGTGTTGCTATGATTTTCATTGGTGGGCCTGATGATCGTGAAGCCTTAGCTATTGCTTGGAGAATGTCAAGACATCCTAGGATCCAACTTTCCATGGTGCGTGTTCTTTTGTTTGGAAAGGCTGCAGAAGCAGATACATCAGCACGAAGTGAATCTCGTGGCCTATTTTCTACAGTAATAGATAATGATCAGCAAAAAGAGTTGGATGAAGATTATGTAAATTTGTTTAGGCTTATGGCAGTGCATAATGAGGATTCCATAAGTTATGCAGAGAAGGAAGTGCATAGTGGTGATGATATTCCTAAAGTCCTTACTGAATTGGACCAAGGAGATTATGATTTATATGTTTTAGGACAAGGAAAAGGAAGGAACTCTCAAGTCATGTCACAATTATTGGAATGGACAGATTGTCCTGAACTTGGTGTTTTAGGGGACATGTTGGCATCAAATAGCTTTGGTTCACGTTCTTCGTTACTTGTTGTGCAGCAATATGGGTTTGGGGGAATGGGAATTAGGTCTAATAACACTCAGGCTTCCAACATGGAGCTTTCAAAGGATGAGGATCTCGAGTCACCTTTTGTGAAGGCACAATAGCATTGATGTTGTTTGGGAATTGGAGAATGGAGAAGTGAGATATGGGTATGTCTTTTGAAGTAGAAAATAATTTACTTGTGACAAACATGCAAAGATGCATGCTCCTGATGCATCTGCTTAAACAAGAAAGTTGAAACTTCAAATATGCATGGAGAAGGGAAGTCATAGTGCTTGCTTTCTCCCCAAATTGAGACTGAAATTTCCAATTCAACTCACTCAACGATTGCCATATGGAGAAGCGAGTGGATCATTTGTACCTCTAGTTGTAAATTAAAGAAATTTCTGATAGTGTAAATATCACCTTCAAATTAGAAGAGAACACTATTTTTTATTTTATTTCAATATACACCTTTGCATTTGTTTGAACTAAAAGTATCTATTTTTTTCAATGTTACGGTATACCTTCAAACAATTTGGTGTACTTTACTTATCTTGTAAAGAAACAAGAGACGAAAGGAATATTGAAATAAATCAGTGTGTCATAACAACACAGCGGAGGCTAGGCTATATTATATATAGAACTACTGAATATATACAACCTGAAATACATGATGTGAGACTAAGTTTATACTACTTTTACTATATATATACAATACTCTCACTCAAGCTGGAGCATATAAATCACAAGCACCAAGCTTGTTACATATATGCTCTATTCGAGGACCCCTCAAAGACTTAGTAAATACATCTGCTAATTGATCATTAGAGGATACAAAACTGTTCATAATTTCACTAGCAAGGACCTTCTCTCGAATAAAGTGACAATCTATCTCGATATACTTGGTTCTTTCATGAAACACTGGATTTGAATAAATATGTAGTGCTGCTTGGTTATCACAAATGAAAGTTGCTGGTCCAGTATCTCCAAACTTGAGCTCTCTAAGAAGTTACTTAAGCAAAATGAACTCGCAAGTAGTAGTAGTCATGGAGCGATACTCTGCTTCAGCACTTGATCTGGCAGTTATATTTTGCTTCTTACTTTACTAGGAAACCAAGTTGCCTCAAACGAAGACACAATATCCAGTAGTAGATCTCCTATCAGTATGACAACCGGCCCAATCAACATCAGAGTATCCGACAACTTTAACATGACCTTTATCTTCATATTCAATTCCCTTTCCTGGAGATGTCTTGATATACTTAAGAATAAGAATGATGGTATTCCAGTGTTCTTGACATGGATAATTAAGAAACTGACTTACCACACTAACTGCAAATGAAATGTCAGGCCGAGTGACTATGAGGTAGTTCAGTTTTCCAACCAATCTTCTATACCTTTCAGGATCTGAAAAGGGCTCCCCCTGATTCAGTGGAAGCTTGATATTTGGATCCACAAGGGTATCAATAGACTTAAAATTTAACAAAGCAGCCTCTTCAAGAATATCCAGAGCATATTTCCTTTGAGATATCACAATTTCATCTTTAGATTGGGTCAGCTTGATTTCCAACAAATATTGAAGTTTCTCAAGATCCTTGGTCTGGAAATGATGACATAAATGTTGCTTCAACTGAGTAATCGCCCATGATTATCACTACTTGTGATGACAATATCATCAACATACACCACCAAATAGATAGACTCGAAAGTGGAATGATGATAAAAGAGAGAATTATCAGCCTCACTCTGAGTCATACCAAATTGTTGAACAATAATGCTAAATCTGCCAAACCAAGCTCGTGGAGATTGCTTGAGACAATATAGAGACTTGCGAAGAAGACAAACAAGACCCGACTCCCCTTGAGCAACTAACTTGGAAGGTTGTTCCATATAAACTTCCTCCGCAAGATCATTATAAAGAAAAGCATTCTTAATATCAAGTTGATAGAGATGTTGCATAACATCATAACCTAAGGCTACACATGCCTCTCAAAACAATAACAATTATACAAATGCATGATTACTATTCATGCCTCAAAACACACAAATACAATAATCCAGAACTACTATGTCTATACTTCAGCTTCTTGTTTAGCCACCCTGCACATGCCTCTTACCCTGAGAGGTCTCTCCTCCTGCTACAAGAACACCTTAAATATATCTTCATAACACGGGGTGAGAAATAAATCTCGTAAACTCAGGGTTTATGGAGTAGTCTCCACCCGTGAGTTCACTTCCTGCATGTAAGGTCAGATACATATAGCATAACATACATCATATAAGCCTATTAATTTATCATGTTATCTCAGATATCCAATCACATGTCATCACCCTCTGAAACACGGACTCGTGTATTTCTGTGAATTGTTCGTGTCGGACACGTGTCCGGTCAATATTTTGGGACATGTGGTCAATTCTCCGACACGCTCCGACATGTTTTTCCGACACGCAATCAACTTTTTCCGACACGTGGTCAAGGTTCGGACACGTTTTTTTTTAGTCTTAATTTTATTTTATTAACTAAAAATAAAAAATCATTTATAAATCAATTTTTTTCTGTTATGAAATTTGACATGAAAAATTAATAATGTACGAAAAATTGTTTTTGTTTATATTTATGTTATGAAATTTGAATATTTGATTGGTTATATGACTTATTATGAACTGTTATATCTATTAAATATAAATTATATTATAGACATATATATTAAAAATATTATTTAATATCAAAACGTATCCCAACGTGTCGAAATATGCAATTTTTTAGAATTAACGTGTCAACGTGTCGTGTCCCGTGTCAGTGTCCGTGCATCATAGTCATCACCTATATGAATGCAACTACACTAAGTATCTAATAGAATCCAATACACTAACACACAAATATTGCAACAATGATCTTTTTAGACCCTGGTGGAACAACACATAGGAAAATCCTCCTAAACCAAGAGCTTACCTTTTGAAGCCTCTATAGCATGCTTATTTGAAACACAAGCAACTATGTCAAATCCTGAGAACTCTGATCAGAAATCATTGTATCTTGATTTATACCTGTTATCCAAATATTTATTAGATTTGACTTCAGACATCCAATTGTATCACAAGACTTTTATCATGTCAATTCCACATTTCATTCTCGATAATTCACTTTTAATAATTCATGCCCATACCACAAATCAGACCTAAATCCTTATTCTTGACATTAGGTTAAACCTATATTCAAACACCATCAATTAGAGACTTAACCATTCAAACTTACTTGAACACATTTCATTTAAGTTTCTAGGGTTTAGTTATCAATTAACTTCAATTCCAACCACATACAACCAATCATTGTTGAACCCTAGGACACACATTCACACACATTCTCATTCTTTTCATTCATCATTCTTTACACCACTTTATCATTTAATCATGCATCAAAACATACACTTAAACTTAGACTTTCAAATCATTATTTACATGTCTTTTAAGTGTCAATTTACACTCTCAACTTCAAACACTTAATCAAACCATTCCAATACATTTTATTGTACAAAAAATGCGCTTAGCATCATTCAACCCAAATTAAACATCATTGATGTACCATATTAACTTAAAATGGCCAAATCATGCATAGTAAAATTTCATGAATTTTATACATTCAAACTTTAATCCAATGACTTTAAACCTTCAAGTAATCATTAAATTCATGCTTCAAACATTCATTTAATCATTTAACATACAAACCCTAATTTAACTATACATGGCCGAATTACAAGCATACACAAAGGCCTATGTAATTTCATTATGTTTTCATCACTTGAATCATGAACCAACCAATCATACAATAACATATTTACGCATAACAAATAGCCAACAAAGCAATACAATCACCTTTGACCAAGAATTAAGCTTAGTTGTAAAGTTTAAGCTTACTTTTAACCTAGTTGACTTTTTAATTAATCACTTTTTGACCTAATTATTTAAATTATTTTACACATCATTTAATTAAATTAGACACATATATATCCCTTAAAATTCATCAAAGAATTTAACTAGACTGTTGGAACTCAGTTCAGACCCAGTTTATAAAATTACCAAAATACTCCTGTTATCATAAATTTGGCATTTATGTCTCTAAACACAACTTATGTTTTTTAGGTCCTAATCGACTTGTTAGGCATGGACTGTATCCTGTAACACCCCGTATATATCCGGTAGTGTTATCATAATATCGTATTAAGCTGCGCTTAATTAAAATGCGGAATTACTTTTTCTTTTCAATTATGATGCCATTAACATTACCAGCTTGCTTAATAATCAATTAATAAAACATCGCCTGTATGTAATTTGCAATAAAAACAGCTAACTGAAATACCTCATAACATAGATAATGTAAGTGTGGCTCTAGTCACGGAACTACAACAATGCAGACCGGACCATCTAACAGTTTATACAACTCTAAACTACAAGTACTAACAGAAAGTGTCATGGACAATCCCCATGCTCACTCAAATAAGGCAACAAGCCCAACATCAGTCTCAACAACAACATATCATAAATAACGGAAAACATAAACAGCATCCAAATCCAGTCATGCTAACATAAGCAGTAAACATAATCAGCTAAGCTCCGGCCTCCTGCCGCCTGAGGCATCAGTACCCATACTACCTGATCCTGAAATAAGCATTCCCCAAACGTGGGGTAAGATCTCTAATCTAGAAATCTCAGTAAGTCAGTGAGTCCTCAAGGATCTTCCACCCCAAGCTCACTTACATGTGCAATATAAGTTCAAAAGCAATTTATCATTTATCATTTCTAAAACAATGCAATGCAGCAGATAATCATGCCATGTGTGTCAATACTAATCTACTGGCCAGAGACAGTGCAGGTATACGTCTATCACCTACACACCGTGCAAGTACCACTTGCATTCACCCCGGTACACCGTCTTGTATGGCGCTACATACTCAGGCTTCCCGTCAAGATGAAACAACACATGCATATTAAAAGCCATTACATGTAAAGTTCAATCAACATATCAAATATCCAAAAGCATGTACACAGCATGCATAAACCATACCCCCATGGGACATGGTGGAACCACAATATGGCTAAACCGAGGACACGAAAACTTACCTCT